TTACTGGATGGAATTTCAGCCATATAAAAATAAGAAATGGCAAAATTCCCAGCTAGAATTTTGACAAATCTGCTAAAAAGCCTGGCACTTGGGCTAGACCCCACAGGATAATACTAATTACACTGTCAGAGAACAAACAGTTCTCTGGAGGAAGACTGTTAGCCTCGATGTTGGCAGATTTTCAGTGAAATGCTCTGTTCTACTGCAGGGGTCTTCCTGGGAAAGCACCCACTCTTGTCCCTGAGTGTGGTGATTAAGGCACTCGCCAGTGATATGGGACGTATGAGTCTGAGTGTCGATGAGCTGAGGGAAGAAATGAGCAGTATTCCTGAATCCATCCCGGCTGCTTTGCTGCTGTGTAAGCTGGCAAGAGTCACCACTGTGGTCAGTGCTGTCTCCAACCCAGCTGGAGAGCAACAGCAACTTCAGGGCACAGAGGGGAGTAGCCTCTCAGGGCAGATGGGGAGATCAGCATCTTGCTGGGGTTACCTATGGGACCAAGGCATGAAACAGCCACCTGACCTGCTCAGCCTTGTCAAGAATTAAACATTTCTGGGCACCCCTGAAGCAGAACTCATGAACCAGTAGACCTACAGGTAAGGCAAATGTGCTATGCGTGGTCATCTCTTCAGTTCAGCTCACCCCATTTAAACCAGGGCTGTGTCTTTGCCATTAAATCTTCACCATGTACACTGACAAGGCAATTTTCAAGCACTTTATACTTCTGATTAAAGCCACAACATAGTTCCTGTTTGCATCCTGTAACATTTAATCCCACGATTGAGTACCTATATTAGTTTGAACCCTAAAAGCTGCTGGTGTTTTTGGGGTCAGCACTAGAAGGCAAGTCCTCTTTGGATTCCTTGTATGCAAGGAAAAAGCACACTTGCTCACGTATTTCGGAGCTGTACAGGCTGCCTCAGCTGTGAATTTTCCCCATGTATGCTACCAAATGCATTCACAAGGCAAGACCCAACTCTCCCCCGCAACACTCACCAGCCACTCCATGTATGTCACCTCTAGCATGCAGGCAACACACTCTGGAAGGGGAAGCCAAAAGCTACGAAGGAGCTGCAACGTGCCTATCAGCAGCCATGCAAAAGTCAGTGAGAAAAAATAGCTTCTGAAAAATTGAAAAGGGCTTGCTAAAATCTTTGCCAACTGGTTGTGCTGCATCTCGCCACTCTGACTGCTTCACACCAGATCCCCTGGACACAGCAAGCAGGGTGTTTACAGAACACTGAGCTGAAAGCAAAGAGGGTAAGTGCCATGTGCTAACTGCTGCTGCTAGGTGCAGAGATACAAACGCAGTATTTAAATGGCCTTGTTTTGTGTTGGAATTTCTTTGCAAAAATGCAGACATGATACTCTATGAATGCAGTTTGGAGTGCTGTTCCATGACCAGCAGAAATAATCTTTTAACTTGCTGCTGCCAAAAGGAGAGGTCCTAGCGTCCCATCCACATGCCTGGCTGCCTCCTTGCATCCCCATTCCCATCTGAGATCATAGAGTCATAGAATCATAGAATAGTTTTGGACTAGATGACCTTTAAAGGTCCCTTCCAACCCTCCTGCAATGAGCAGGGACATCTTCAACTAGAGCAGGCTGGTCAGAGCAACCTGACCTGGGATGTTTCCAGGGATGGGGCATCTACCATCTCTCTGAGAAACATGTGCCAGGGTTTCTACCCTCTTTTAGTTTAAACCATTATCCCTTGTCCTATCGCAACAGGCCCTGCTAAAAAGCCCATCCCCATCTTTCTTATAAGCCCATTAAGTACTGGAAAGCTGTAAGAAGGTCTCCCCAGAGCCTTCTCGAACAAGCCCAACTCTTTCAGCCTGTCCTCACAGGAGAGGTGTTCCATTCCGCTGATCATTTTGGAGGCCCTCTGAACCCAATCCAACAGGTCCATGTCTATCCTGTGCTGAGGGCTCCAGACCTGGATGCAGCACTGCAGGTGGGGCCTCTCCAGAGTGGAGAGGAGGGGCCGAATCACCTCCCTCGACCTGCTGGCCACGCTTCTTTTGATGCAGCCCAGGATATGGTTGGCCTTCTGGGCTGCAAAAGGACGTTAACAGCTCATGTCCAGCTTTTCATCCACCAGTACCCCAAAGTCCTTCTCAGCAGGGCTGCTCTCAATCCCTTCATCCCTCACAGCCTGTATTGATACTGGGGGTTGCCCAGATCCAGGTGCAGGACCTTGCACTTGGCCTTGCTGAACCTCATGAGGTTCACATGGGCTCATTCCTTGAGCTTGTCCAGGTCTCTCTGGATGGCATCCCATCCCTCGGGTGTGTCAAGCCCACCAGTCAGCTTGGCATCATCTGCACACTTGTTGAGGGTGCACTTGGTCCCATTGTCTATGGCATTGATGAAAATATTAAAAGAGTACTGGTGCCAAGACGGACCCTCTGCTCATCACCAATCTCCATCTGGATGTTGAACAATTGACCACTACCCTCTGGAGGCCACCGTTCAACCAGTTCCTCATCGACCCAGCAGTCCACCCATCAAATCCATCTCTCTCCAATTTAGAGAGAAGAACATTGTGGGGGACCCTGTCAAAGGCTCTACAGAAATCCAGATGGATGACATCCCTAGCTCTTCCCTTGTCCACTGGTGTGGTCACTCCATCCTAGAAAGCCACTAGGTTGGTCAGACAGGACTTGCCCTTGGTGAAGCCATGCTCCCTGTCCTCTATGTGCCTTAGCATAGCTTCTAGGAGGATCTGCTCCATGATCTTCCCAGGCACTGAGGTGAGACTGACAGCTCGGTAGTTCCCAGAGTCCTTCTTACTACACTTTTTAAAACTGAGTGCAAAGTTTCCCTTTTTCCAGTCTCCAGGGACTTCACCTGACTGACATGACTTTTCAAATATCATGGAGAGCGGCTTAGCAACTACATCATCCTATTCCCTCTGGACTCTGGGATCCATCTCATCAGGTCCCATAGACTCGTGTATATTGAGGTTCCTCAGGTGGTCTTGAACCCCATCTTCTTTTACAATAAGAGGGACTTTCGTCCTTCAGTCCCCGCTTGCAGTCCATCTACTCAAGAGAGGAGGGGGAAGAGAGAGTGCCAGTGAAGACTGAGACAAAGAAATTTTTCAGTACCTCAGCCTTCTCCTCACCTGTTGCTACCAGTCTGCCAGTCTTGCTGATCAGGGAGGACTATGCTTTCTTTGAACTTCCTTTTCTGTCTGACATTCCTGTAGAAGCACTTCTTACTACTTTTTCTGTCCTTTGCCAAGTTCAACTCTAGCCACACCTTGGCCTTTCTGACCTCAGCACTACACAACTGGGCAGCTTCCCTGTACTCTTCCCAGGGTACCTATCCCTATTTCCACTGCCTGGCATTTTCCTTCTTGCCCTTTATATCCCACCCCTCCTTCTGCTGGCTCAGGTGCTCTTCTCACCCCCTAAGGAGACAGTGCAGTTGCTAAACCAAGCAGAAAATTATTGTTGGTGGGGTTGGGGTTATTTTTCTGGGCTGCTTTCCCATAGCTTCAATCCTCTGAATCAGATCACCGAGGGCACACTTGCTATCAGAAGGGCACTGGGAAACAGCAGGAGTACTGGCCAGGAAGGAAGGAGCAGGAGCACCCCATTACAGCAGCAGTGAGCTATTGGCAAAGCTGCCCTCATCCCACTGCAGCCTTAGACATAAAAATCTGTGCCA